GGGGGGAGATGGCTGACTCATTTATTCTACGAAAGTGTCAATCTGTCAGTGGTTTTTGTTGGTGATGGCAGCTTGTTGTACTTCTCATGCACCTCTGTTGTGTTTCCTTCTACGCGCTCTTCAGTTGCTTTTTGCTTGCTTCCTTGTTTGGGATTTTTTTTTTAGTTTGACAATTAAACACTAAAGCAGCTTTTCCCCAATCTATGATACCGTCCAAATCGTGACATCATGAAAGTAGATGGAAATCTTTTATTATCTGAATTATCAGCACACCGGTTGCTTCTGATAAGATCTAGGAGATGGGAGGGTTGTTTAAAAAAAAAGATAAGATCTTGAAACTTAGCACTCTTAATATTTGCACTTACTGATAAGGTACCTGCCTTCACCCTGGTGTCAGGCAGCGATGATGCTTGCATCCGAAGAAGTGGAGTCAGTTCACTGCTGATACTAAAAACCACGATTTTTTTAAATCAATATAATTAATTGAGTTCTTGTAAGACGACTTTATCCAGGATTATTGATAATATTATATTTATATGTATAAAGCCTGCCTACACGAAAGGTTTCTCTAAACTAGGGGGGCGAAAAGAAAGCATAATCAGATACTGAAAATAGTATTTTTCTAAGCACTGGCATAATCAAACACTAAATATTTGACATTCGGCGTACTGTTTTTGGCCTGAAATGTTATTCTTCAGTTAAAAGGGAAATTCTTTGTGGGTTTTACTCTCTTCTGCTTTCCGTAAGTCTGAAGGGCATCTGGGCTAGATCTGCTCTCTGAATCACCTCGCTCTCCTGCGGCCCCACACGGGGAACGTGGAGGTCAACACGGGGTGACAGAAGACAGCACCCCCGTTAGCTCCCTTCTCCGTGTGTGGGGTCACAGGGTGCAGGGGAGGGCGAGAGGCGTCCTGGGGACGCTTCCGTGTGGAGACATCTCGCTGACGTCTGTGAGCGGGGAGAAGGCGCGAGGTACGCCTTGCTGAAGTGCCGTGCGATGGTACGCTCGTTGGAGGAGCAGGGCACCCCTTTTGCTCTCCCTGGTTTCTGTGATGTGCTCTGCAGGTCCGGGAGGTAGTTGAGGCAGTGGAGAGGGAGACGAACATGTGACCCTCGCAAGGAATTTGTGAGCTTGGGGAGGAGACCTGTTGCTTTTCTGTCCTGTGGGTATCTTACTCCCCTGTTGGAACTGGCCCCCTGCTTGCCCTGGTTCAGCTCATGCTGCTTTGACAATAATTTGGTAAATCCAGCTCTCGGTTCCACATTCCAAATCGAAGCGTCACAGCCTCACAGAGGGAAATGCTGACCTGGTATGGACCTGCTCAGTCCGTTCAAATCCATTCACAGTTTTTGTCAGCCTAGACTGGCGGGCTGTGTGCCAGGTCAAGTATTATCTGTGCTGCTTCTCGCGTTGTGCTGGGCCAGCCAGCTGACGTGAAACGTGGGTCCTAAGGCCTGTCAAATTGCATGACCGTGCTTGCTCCCGGTCGATACAGCTGGGAGATCAAGCAGCTCGTGCAGCAGGTGCCTCATAGATTTACCTCACAGCTTGTGTACATCTAAACAGGTCCGTGCTTCCAGCTACAGGTTGGTGGTTCCTTGACCTCTTTTCCATTTCACTGCTGTTGTTTTGACAGATATAGAGATATCTGAGTCAGCATTTTCTCTCTTATATGCCTTATGTGTATGTTTAATTCGCCTACCGTGGCCAGTTTCTTTTGGTCAGCTGCCTTCTGGGGCGAAACGCAAGGCGCAGAGTTGAGACGCCAGCGCTCTTCAGGTGGTGCGTGCTTTGGGGAGACTGAATTTCAGGCAACCCGAAGTATAGGTAGTGGTTAGGTGACCGTGGGCAGGGCTTAGCACCGTGTTCTTCCTGCTGGGATGACTGGGAGACTGGGGATGTCATTACCAGAGTACTGTTGCTTCATAAACAAATTCTGTGCCTGTGTGTTCTTGTTCTAGTTAAACCACAAAAGCCTAAAGGTGGATTTCACCGAGTCAGCGTATTCTTCAAATCCTTCAGCGAGGAGGAGCTGCCTTGCTCCGACACCTCAAATCTCCGTTCTCTCAGGTACGCCGATGCCTTCCGAACTGCCACCCTCTGGGGAGCTTTGCTGGTGCTTGTAGTGCTAGCAAAATCGATCCATCTTTGCGTGTCCTAAAGAAGTATGGTCTGGTTGGAGAGGGAACCTTGCTTATTGGCTTTAGAGGTGGGGCAACATCAAAGTATATTATACAATCTGAAAGTACTTTTTTGGGTTTTTTTGCCTTTTAAATGCTAGTGTCGCCATTTTATTTATGCTGGCATTTTGAGTGCTCAAGAATGAAATACTTGAATCGTTCAGATGATTCTTGGCACGTTAACTCCTTGTTCATTCAAGAAATAGTTTCTCAGATTTTAACAGATTAGCTTAATTACTCACGTGAGTATCAGTTAGAAAATGGATATTTTTTATTTTAATTGGAACTAACTTATTTCTGGTAGGAACTTAAAATGTGTGTGTGTGGGGGGAGGTTGTTTGGGGGGTTTTTAGCAGCTGTTTTTTGAGTGGCAGGGCTAGGCTTGGCTATGCGGAAGCCTGAATTAAATTTTTAGAAGTTGTTCTCTTTTTCTCTGAAATCGACTAAGAACAAGTATTTAGCAGAGCAAGTCAGCATGGTTATATGATTAGTGCTAGAGATGTTCTGCGGTGCTGGAGTAGAGATGATGACAAAGGATGAGAGGGGGTGGAAAGCCTATCAGGATAGGCTTTGCGGTAGGAGAGCAGAACAGAAGAGTTCAAGACAGTAAGACTAAATGTTTTGTCTTGCACAGAAAAGGTGCTGTTTTCAGCCCGGGTGGAGGTACTCCTGTGCAATTGAAATGTCAATAGTTACCAAAATTGCTCTATTTTCCTGAAAAGATCAAAATATGTTTGTTTGAAACTTGCTAGATTTA